TTGATGCCAACCTCAAGTGGTTTAAAATCATTGTGTGAAACAGTGTACAATTCTGAGATCCATCTTTCCCCATTTGATGGGTTTGTCTACAGTGCAGATAAACAAAAAAAGCAGGAGAATGGCACTTAGCACCCTATCTGGTGCTACGTGGAAAAAATAATTTCTGAAGTCCCTGAAGTGAATTTCCATGTAAATGTTAATGCTAATGGATTTCATTATAAATCAGAGCATATTATACCTCAGACACCTGCAATGAGCAGCTTATAATGAAGACTATTCTCTGTTTAAAGTCTTTAAGAACATTAAACTTTAACCGAATGGTTTCAGAATGAAATTTTGCTTGTTTAGCATGTGGTTAAAAAGCAACCCCAACCCTAAATAATTCATTGATGAGCTTGGTAATATGAAATATATCATCGATATGAGTGCCAAAGCCTAAGTCTCCAGTTTGGTCAAAGGAAGCAGTCACTAACCTGAAGGACTGTACTGTAGCCTGGAGGCAAATTGAGTTTACATACTTTACACATAAGCACCAGCTTTTGTATCTAGTATGAGCATGCATGGGCTGTGAGGGGTGACCAAAACATGTAACTCTCCCATCTTTATTGGTTTGTCCTTTCCACATACCCAGGAGATGGGGAAACACACCCTTAATGGCCCTCACTTTATCATTAGTTAAGGAGTGAGTACGGTTAACGGTGTGCTGACACAGGCAGGTAGCTCACAGTGTGCGAGATGGGAATATGGTTTTTGACAGAGGATGAAAAGGCAATAGAAAATTGCTGATTCCAGACAACATCCAGTGCAGCTTGAGAGCACAGCAACAAAAAGACCTCAACTGACTCATGACTTTGTCTGGAGCTCGTAAGGCTGTGCTGCACTTTGGAATTCCTCTCACAAAGCCAGACAGTGCTGTCCAGGGAAAAGTGTTTCGCTAGATTGACAGTGGGCTATTACTTTACACTGTGTGTTGGTGAGTCCAGCACCCGGTGGAGGTTTATTACTGACCACAGCCACAGACAAACGGACTGAAAAATGCACCTTGAATTGGACTTAACTGCCTCATGTAATTGTTTCCTTGAACATTTGAGGTGATTGTGTTGAGTTGCACAAAAAGCCTGATAGAGATTGACATGAATGGTGTTGGTGCTGGTGACAAAGTGGATGTTAAGAGGTTCGGTAAGTGCTTTATACAACACGGCTCATTCACACCTAAGAACAGCGCCTTTCTTTCTACAACTTAGTGCTTTCTATCTAATATTTACAACATAACCCTTATACTTAACAGGCCACTGGTAACCTGATAAATTGTTAAGACATTAAGAAAAGTGTGTTTTATGAATAATAATGACATGGCTTGCAGGTACCCTTTGGCGTATCTAATCTATGAAGTCAGTAAACATTTTCCTGGTGAGTTTCTGGTCTTATTGGAGTCTTTCTGAATGTAACATGCTGTTCGTTTTGTAAATTATGGTCTCCTTCAGAGTCAAAAAGGACTGTGAACCAGCAGTTCCACCTTGTGATTGACAATGCGCTACTGCATAAGCGTGGAGTGTCCCTTACTCCATCCATTCATCCATTACTGCCAGTTTCAGAACACCACACTGATGGTGACGCCCAGAGTGTTGAGCTTGAGGCTGCACTAACCAATGGGTGACATTCAGTCTTGGGGGTTCAATTCAATTCAATTTTATTTAAACAATGCCAAATCACAACAAAAGTTGCCTCAAGGAGCTTTATGTTGTAAGGTAGACCCTACAATAATACATACAGAGAAAAACCCAACAATCATATGACCCCCTATGAACAAGCACTTTGGTGACAGTGGGAAGGAAAAACTCCCTTTTAGCAGGAAGAAACCTCCGGCAGAACCAGGCTCAGGGAGGGGCGGGGCCATCTGCTGCTACCGGTTGGGGTGAGAGAAGGAAGACAGGATAAAAGACATGCTGTGGAAGACAGACAGGGATTAATAACAAGTATGATTTGTGGCAGAGAGGTCCATGAACACATAGTGAGTGAAAAAGGACGTTGAAGAAGAAATACTCAATGCATCATGGGAATCCCCCAGCGGCCTAAAAATGATTGCTTCCAAGGCAGGGACCATGTTAGAGATCATTCATAGTGAGTTGCTGTTTTCATCTTTGGTGCATCAAGTCAAAGATAAAATTAAGTAAAAACAAATAAACAAATAAGATGGAGTCAATCTGCTATCATTCTGTGAACAGGGTCAAATTGGCAATTACATGCAATCTGTTTGTGATCATCCAGTGATTAAGTGTAATTAATCAGTGAAAATCTGTTGCCATCTGCATACACAGAAATTCACATTAACTACAGTATTTACATTCAGAGTTCAGCAAGAACTTCATAGATTTGAAACCGAAACCGACTTAAACCATCAATATTAATGTTTTAAGTCCAAAACGACACAGGTGCTCAGCAACCTTGCTTTATAGGAATACAGGAATATCACAGGAATGCAAATAGCTGGCAACCAGTTGAGTTGGGCTCTTTATTTTTGCAGATGTGCTCTTTGGTGCAAACTGTTGCAAACCAATACAAAGTCTTGCCAATCTTTCTACATTTAAAAGGTCAATGGCAGTTATTTGCAGATCTTTTCCAGTCTGTCTGAGAATGATTGCAGTCATTCTGAGTCAGACTACAAGCAGTGGGAGACAGGTTGCTTCCCACCAAGCATTGCTGCAAGCTCTGAAGTCACCTTGCCATCGAAATTGGACACCGCAACTACTTCCACTTGGTAACCGAATGTGAAAAAATTCAATGCAATCACCAGGCAACCACCAGGATTTTGTGACTGAGTCATTAAACATGGTGCTAACTGAGAGTGCTTCTGTATTACCTCTATATTAGTACAGGGATTTATGCAGATATGTGGACATAAGGTGAGCTGGTTACCACTGTTATGCCTGTGTGGGTTTTGTCCAGATCATCCAGCTTCCTCCCACAGTCCAAAGACATGCAGTTAGTAGGGTTAGGTTAATTGGTGATCTTAAATTGACCATATGTCTGAATGGGAGGGCCAAGGGGCATCTGGCTCTGTTAGCCTGTGACAAACTGGTGATCTGTCTTGAGTGTGCCCCCCTTTTGCCCTACAGCAAACAACACGGGTTGTTGGGGGCTAGAAGAAAATGCATGTTAAGTGGCTAACCGCTAGTTAGCTTTGAACATCGCCTGTGTAACATCACCCATGTGACCTCTAGTATCATAGGTGATGTGGCAGGCTAACATAAAAGTAATGTGACAACAGTGTAACTAAAGTACTTCCTAGAGTAGTAAACAAGTAAATTAATGCATTTTTTATTCTAAATGCAATGTGTAATTTAGTTGCTGCTGGCCAAATAAAAATCTCATACTATAATGTGCACAGGAGCCCCGTCGAGCCTAGACGCTGTAACAAATGATCCTGTGGGAGACGTACTGACAGCCAAGTTCTGCATGGCTCCGCATGCCTCATCACCACTCACACACAAGTGCGTGCTGGTCCCAGGGTAAACTCCCACTGCATATCCCGTCAGCTCAGAGAAAGTGTCAATCAGCTCATCCAAGTCAGCTAAAGGGATGTGTCTACGCCAGCAAATACTGCCTGTCCTTGTCCTTCGCTACTTCTGACAGTAAATAATGCCCCTCTGGCCAGGATAGCTCTTTCATTCTGATTATTACACTTTATCATGCAAGGGAGGGGATTTTGCTGAACAAGTGAATACAGTTTCTTCACATCATCCCACCTGGGAAATGTCCAGTACAAACATTTTTTTCAAGGTAATTCTCAGAAATTCAGCAAGCCAAACCTTAAAAGGACTAAAGTCAAAGTGAAAATGAGTTTTAGGTGCTTCCATTGGACACCAGAGCTCTGTCTTCAGAAATAAAACCTACTGACACTCAGTCATTTGTCATCCTAATGAATGCAAATGACCACCAAAGCACAATTATCATCACACCGAGACCCATTAAAATCAACAAAAGTGAGTGGTTTTATCATTTAGAAAAATGCATTTGTGAGTACAGTGGTTCCCTGCTTCCTGTTTATCTCTCACGAGCAGCATGTGCTGAACATAAAAGCAGCTGCAATGTGGCAGCTATCATGAATATCATGAAAACTTTTCAAGGTAACAGACAGACACACACATTAGTGTCACATTACAAGGCGAAGCAGATCAGTGCTGCTGTTATAAATACTGCCTTGGTTCTGTTAACTGTTGATTTGCTGCCATCTTGTGCTGAGATTTAAAAAAGATCATTTGAATTTCACCATGTCGAAATGTTGTACGCTTTGCAAAATCTCCGCTCCACATCCAGGCTGATCTTGTGATTGGATCGGAGACTATGCAATTATGTGGGCTGCAAAGAAATGCCTGGATGAAATGTGGAGTGTGAGGAAATGTCTGTTAAAAATTTTGGTTAGCTGATGCTGATTTAAGAGTCTTTGATACAGTGCATCTAAGAATATAGAGAGGGTGAAGAAAGACGTAATAAAAAAGGGTTGTGTATTCAATGATTTTGATGTGGAATTATTCATTCTCATTCAGCACAGATACAGGTATGATTTACTCCTCTGTCTTCTTTAGTGTTTGCCCAGTTATAGACCTAAACATCAGCGTAACAAGTTAAGAAAATGCACCCAGCAAGGCCGAGCTTCTGACAAAGAAAGAAGAATAGAAACTCTGTAGAATTAAACAACAAGCATAAAGCAAATGTTCTTGTATTGACAAGAAGTAATCGTAGACAATTTTCACTCACTGACGGAGACAACTGCAAACCGCCCACTAGATGGCGCTCAATGCACACAGAGCATACAAACGTGTAGAAGAAGAGGAGGGCGATACGGAAGTCGTGCCGGGTTCATTTGTCCCTCCTGACTTTCCGTCGTTGTTTTGTAAAAGCATACAGTACGTGTAAATCGACAGGTACGGAACAGTGTGTACTTTTCCTGCTGTACTCCCAACGACACAATAACATTTGTTTTCTTTATTATGAACACGAAGGCGCTTGTGCTTTGCACTGCGCAGTGGTCTTTTTAAGGTCACGTGAAAACAGGAAGTGCTTTAGATGAACTCTTATTTAAAAAAAGAGAAAGTGATAAGAGTAGATATCAGCTGACCGAACGACTCTCCTTGTGATAGCAGGTGCTAAAGCTAGCTGTGTTGTCAGCTAGCTGATAGTTGAACTTGAGGTATTTTAGAGGAATATTGTCTGTGTAGATTAATGTGTGAAATAAGTGTATTGGTCACATGTGTTTCCGCATGGGGGGGACACATGCAGTCATTGCATCATACAAGCTATTTTAACTCGGCTGGTTAGCAAAGCTAACATTTGGGAGTTTTAATGTTTTCTTTTGTGTTTTCTGTTGGGAATAACAGTTTCTGTCTTCTTGTTACTCTTTCATCAAACAGGTTCAAGGATAAAAGGCGAGGGAAACTAAGCACAATGTCTAATGTAAGTGACCATTTTCCTCATGCTAATGTTATGGCTCATGCTAATGTTATGGGTACTGCTATTCACTTAGGCCAGAGTAGATTTTAAAAAGAATGTCTGATTGTCCAAGAAATGACTTTAAATCATTTTAAAAACGCTGCACAATGATTTTGAAATGATTGAAACCAGTTACAGGCAGTACTAGCTGTTGGCCCATTCAGGCCAGTAACATTTTTATTCACCACTCAGGCGTAGCATTAAAGCAGACTGTCTGAAACCACTCGTCGCTAATGAGTAATTTGGGTTTTTGTTTTTTTGGGTTTTTGTTTTTTTTATAGGCATTATTTATTAAAAGGTCAAAACTTAATCAAACCACATGTTCAAATTGTGTAAATGCTAAAGAGAACAATATATTTTTATCTGTATCCAGCCAGAATAAAAACAACATAAAAATAAAAGATTAAGGGAACGCTAACTCATAAAAATGAGTTTGTAGCAGTAGTCTAAAGAAATGACACAATCAGTTGTCCTGATTGGTGGAGGGAGGCTGTTTCACAGTTTGGCCGCCACTACCTCAAAAGCACAATCATCTCTGGTTTTATAATCCGAGCAAGGGACAGTTAGGAGACCTCGGTTAGAAGATTGGAGAGGTCAGCTGGAGTGATAAGGTCTTAGAAGCTATGTTATATAGGAAGTTCATGTCCATGTGTTGAACTGTGCCATCCTTCTCCTCTTTATGAGATCAGTTCCAAAAAGATTTGAAAAATTTTAGTCTGATCACAGGAAAGTATTAAATTCCTCAATACTGCAACATATTGGATGCATCTGGCTCTTTATTTCCAGAGAACCAGAACTAAATGGCAGCATCCAGTTTGTCCTAAATAAAACATACAGTAAAAGTATGAAGCTGCAGACAGTCCACCGTGGGCAGGGCTGTTCCTGTTTCATGTATCTGTCTGTTAACACATGATGTCGTCTGTCTGCAGGTGCTGTGTGGTCAAAGCAGGGCAGTCCTGTCTCGTGCTGCTGGCTGTCGAGCTTTAGCTTCTCTCAGGGCTGGAACAACCAGAACCTTCTCTGCTGCGAGCTCAGATGAGCCTTACATAGCGGTATCACACACAGACTCAGGTGAGTCGAACAGGAAAGGACGTCAGGCAGTGTTGCAATGCAGTTTTCAGTAGTAAACTGGTTAGCACCTGTGGCAGCAAACGCTGAAAAATCATCTTTGTCACGTCACTCCAGGCCCAAGGACCGTGTGGCCTGATGAGAACATGGGACCATTTGGACCTCAGGACCAGCGCTTCCAGTTGCCTGGTAACGCTGGGTTTGACTGCCACCTGGAGGGCATGGAGGACCAAAAGAAGGCGCCGGTCCACAAGACGGTGCCTGATGTGCTGACGGTTCCAAGCAGCACAGAGAGACACCAGTTCATACTGGCCCAGTTTGTCAACGAGTTCCATGTAAGTTTTTTGAATAGTTACGTTATGAGCTGTAACGCAGTCAGAGCTTTTAGGACTACAGTTCAGAGCAGAGAGAGAACAAATTAAAGTCAATGTCTTTGATTTATTTTAAATGTAAGTGAGCTGCTGTGGCTCATTGGTTACAGGAGAAACACAGATGTCAGTAACACTTCATTGTAAGAGTCCAAGTGTGACAATTAACAATAAATAAATAAAAAGAGCTACATTTTTACCACTTTGGTCTGAGAGGGTGTGTGATTGTCTGTTTTTCAGGGAAAGCTGGGGCCTATTTCCACAAGAGTAAGCAAAGCTGAGCAGTACTTTAATCAGACAGAAACAGACTGTGCCATAAACTCCTGCCCAGAGCTGCTGAAGAAAGGTAAGAGAGATTCACCCAGCATTACCTTCGCTGACTGTGAGTGTGGGCAACACAAGCCAAAATGATATCTGGATATTTAAGGAGAATTTACGATAACGATATTTCTGATGATATAGAAGAAACTGATACTGAATAATGTCAAATTGTGGTCATAAATATTTTGTACTTGTAAATCAGACTGTGTAGTTGTGAGTTTTGTAACCTTGCAAACCAAAATATCTAAAAGATTGATGTTTGTGCATCTATAGATGTGTATATTAAAAAAAAAAAAGATTATATGTAACGGAGTGAAGGTGATGTTTTTCAGTGTTTGTTTAAAGGAGGGGAAACCTTCCTCCAAAACGGACAGAGCAGTGGAGCCGCCAAGGGAAAG